TTACACCACCCCTGGCCCCGCCTCAACTCCGCCCCTTCCCCAAATCCCCAGCCCTGCCTCCTCCCCCTAGGCTCTCAAGCCTAGGAGGGAGGGGGAGAAGCAGCGCGCGCGCCATGGCCACTCGGAGTCTCCCCCTCCCTCCCAGGCTCTCAAACCTGGGAGGGAGGGTGAGCAGTGGCGCTCGAATCAGCTGTTTCGCGCGCCGCGGCCGCTCGGGATCTCCCCCTCCCTCCCAGGTTTGAGAGCCTGGGAGGGAGGGCGAGCAGCTGCGCGCGAATCAGCTGTTTCGTGTGCTGTGGCGAGCTAGAGCGGCCAGGGCACATTTTTAGGAGCGGCATTCTGGCGCCGGGCATGCCGCCCCTAAAAATGTGCTGCCCCAAGCACCAGCTTGTTTTGCTGGTGCCTAGAGCCGGCCCTGACTGGGGGTCCTAGATGCTACAGCAGTAAAAAAAACCCAATAATAATTAATCCATATGAATATTCATTTGAATATTCATATTGCTTTAAATGGGACTATTGAGGATAGGAGAATTATTTTTAAATGTAGGGCTGGAAGGGACTTCGAGAGGCCCTCTAGTCTATACCCTCTGCACTAAGGCAAGAATAAGTATACCTAGACCATTCCTGAGAGATATCTATCTAATCCACTCCTCAAAGCCTCCAATGGTAGGGATTCACATGCATGCATATTTACATGATTGGGTCCTAAAACATAAGCATTGTATTTCTTAACACTGTTGTTTCCTTCCCCTTCTTCATTGCAGTAATTATATGCAGACAGCTAAATTTTTATCAGCTTTGTGAATTAGACAATTGGATAGAAATATAGTTATGTGTTATTTGCACAGTGGGTGCCTGCTTTGTATTCTTTAGTATCATGATTTGCCAGCCAGCCTGCTTGCCATCTCTTTCCCCATCTTTCCATCCACTGACCTACTTATCCCTTTCTAATGTTCATCCATTCTTTCTCTCTCTTCTGTCCGCATTCAATTATGCTATCAATTTAGTTTTATGATTTTATTAGCATATTCTTGAATATGGCACATTATTCAAAAAGTATATATGTCTCTATTAAAGCTGTTGCCCATTTAAATATTGTTCTTCTTTTGTATTAATAGTTTCTACTACTACTCCAACATGGCTGTCTTCAACAGGTAATTCATAATTATTTTACTTCTTTATTTGTATGTTGTAGTCTTCTCTATTCACTTATTATAATACACAAATTATCCACATATTAATGGCACCAGATTCCTTGGACAGGAAAATAAGTACTGCATGGTGATAAATCTTAGTACTTTTTGCAAGCTGTCTTCAGGCTGAAGGTAATACATTTTTTGAATATCAACTTTTTCTTTCTTTTGGCAACTAGCATTTCTAACTAGGGATAGAGTAGTACAGTATAATACTATATTTAGGTATTTTTACTTTAAAAGAAACACTTAAGCCCCAATAATGCAAACACTTATGTATGTGCTTAACTTGGCTGATGTGTCTGGTCCCAATGGCTTCAATGAAACTGTTTATGTCAGTAGAAATAAGCACGTACATGAATGTTTGCATGATTGGGGTAATAGGTGGATCAAATAAAACAGACCTCTTAGCGGTTTCACGCCCTCTTGAACTCACTCTTCAAAGTTCTTTTCAACTTTCCCTTACGGTACTTGTTGACTATCGGTCTCATGCCAGTATTTAGCCTTAGATGGAGTTTACCACCAGCTTTGGGCTGCATTCCCAAGCAATCTGACTACAAGAAGACCTGGTCCCAGTGCACCGGGGGCCGCTACCGGCCTCACACCATCCATGGGCTGTGCCTTGATCAGAAGGACATGGGCCCCCGAGAGCAGCACTGGGACAAATAAAACAGAGTTGCCAGTCAACAAATACATGCAATTAAACTCGGTTTCTGTGTGCTTCACAGTAGGGGGAAAAAATAAAAAAAAATTGCTATGTGTCGCTCAACAAGATAATGAAAGTCCTTGTCGTTTTCCCCTTTTTTGTATAAGCAGAGCAGGGGGTGGTGCCCCTAGCCTCTGTTTTCCAGAAGATGGGAATGGGCGACAAGGAATGGATCACCTGATGATTACCTGTTCCGTTCATTCCCTCTGGGGCACCTGGCATTGGCCACTGTTGGAAGACAGGATACCGGGCTAGATGGACCTTTGGTCTGACCCAGTCTGGTTGTTCTTATGTTCTTAAGCCATGTGTCAATTAAAGCTCTGCATTAAGTAAAAATTGTTACATTCCAAAGTTGGCAGTAGGTGCTATTTTCATTCAGACTATAATTTTTGTTCCCAGTGCACCAGGTGCTTCTTCAAAAAGTTACTTCCAACCTGAATTAAGAACATAACATTATCGGAGGAAAAAAAGCATAATCTTTCTTCCCTGAACATTTTCTTTGGCCCATATTTTCTGTCTTCAATTATATACATTTAGGGCTTAATCATGAGAGGTTCTGAGTATTAAATGAAACTGAGTGGGCTCCACAGCTCTCAGGATTAGATTCTGATCACAGAACACCTCATTGAAGTTATAGGAGGCTTTCCTTGAACTTCAGCAGGTTTTGGCTTTGACTGATAAATCATATACAAATATATGCAAAAGTATATATAAATGACTCATATGTATTTTATTTTCTTACATTTTATTCTGCAGCAAAATATACTTGTGGTGGTGTCCTTCAGTCTTCATCGGGGACATTTCAAAGTCCGTTCTATCCTGGGAATTATCCAAACAATGCAGATTGTGTGTGGGAAATAGAAGCAGTGAGCAATTACCGTGTAACACTTTCATTTAGCGATATAGTGTAAGTAAGGCACTAATTTCCCAGGCAATTCATAGGTTCAAAATCATGGAATTTTGAAATTGGTACCCTCTCCATTTCAAGGACATTTCTCAACAGGGCTTAACACTTGTAAATGACCAGTAAACCTAAAATGAAAATTGTATGAATATAGTTTTATTTGTGGTTATTTGTTCAGTCCTGGTGGTACCACATAGGAAGCAAAATGAAGACAATCAGTCACAACCACCTTGCAGACTGAAAGGTTTAATTTGAGATTTTGTGGTGACTAGTTAAACAGGAGTTCACAAAATAGTTTACAAAATGTTTGTGTTTATTCCCCAGGACAGAAGGTGGTACATGCCAGTATGATTATATTGAGATATATGATGGGCCACTCTATACCTCTCCTTTACTGGGGAAAATTTGTTATGGTTCCTATCTCACATATACATCGTCCTCAAACTTGATGACAGTTCGATTTCACAGTGACTCGAGTATAACAAAGAGAGGGTTCCGTGCTGCCTATTACACTATTCCAGCAGATCAGAATACTAGTAAGTTCATGTTCAATACAGAACTTCGCTTTTCAGCAGACAAGCCTATTTACTGATTTTATTTGCTAAATAACTATTTATTAATGTTGTTGAACTACTTCAGTATAGCAAGCACTCACTGTCATCTTTCATACTGTGGGATTATTGGCCTATTACTTTCAATGTTTGTTATTATCAAAGTAATTATTTTTAGACATTTTCTCTGATATTCAGCCTTAATTTACTTTTTCTTTACATCGTCTCATTACTCTTACTTATGGCCCTTTGTACGACCTAATTGTTCATTCTCTCTGGGTTTGATCCTAGTCCTGATGCAGGCAAAACTCTCATTGCAAGCACTCCTCTTTATATAGCGTGAGTGAATTTCATGTCCTCTCCCCAACTCCTTAGTTATTATTTATTTGAGCTCAATATTTAGCACTTTGCTGGTACATGTTTAGGATTAGAATTATTTATATTTAGAATCATTCTCTCCACTTCCTTTTGCATTTGTGGTGTTCTTCCTTGAATTCCCTGCAATTTGTCCATGTCTTCAGCTACACAGGTGCCCACAAGTGAACTAGAACACCTTTCACAGCCATACAAAGCCTGATCCTTAAGCACTCATTCAGGCAAGACTCCTATTGTTTTCAGTGTGCATTGTGCCCAAATAAAGACCACAGGATCCAGTCCCCAATGAGAGACTATCACTTTGATGTTATTCAGCCTCTGCACGTTTAGTTCCAAACCCCATCTGGCAGATGTAAGGCCATACATGCAAACCCTTGATTCAGCAACCCTTGCTCATATTGAATAGAACATAACTGGTTAGTTCCATTGGCTGATCAGTATAATTCAAGAAAGCAAAATCTGGTCCATAAATTGCTGTCAACAAACACACCAGTTTCTCTTTACTTTACTGTTACCTTTGTCTTCACCTCCCATTGCATTTTAGATCATTCTTTCCCAGAAGTACTGAAACGCTTCATTTTATTTGCTTAATAATGGCCCTGCTAATACTGTTCTTAATTTTACTCAAGCAAAATTCCAAGCAATGTCAATAGGATTTTTACTTGACTCCCGAATTTTTTCTACTATGGTAACTGTGATTCATTGATGAGACTCTCTCTGATCACAGGAAGAGAAGTTATAATTTACAGATTTTCATAGTAATAGTAATCCACAGCCAAAACCCACAGGCCCCTGGTCCATCATTCAATATTTAAGACGTAAGATAGTAAAATCATGTGGTTTGGCTTATGTTGAACCCCTTCCCCTCTCCCAGCCTACACACAAAGTAGATAACAGCATATGTATAGGTTGCAACATTTAATTATGATTGTATGCCTGTACGCACTAATAATGTATGTTTTATCCACCCACTAGCTCTTCTGTGCTTGCCAGAATACATGCATGCAGTTGTTAACAGAGCCTATCTCCACTCACATGGCTACAATGCATGGGATGTCAGCTTGAATGACCCTTATTGTAGACCAAACATTACATCAAACTATGTTATATTCAACATCCCATACAATGGCTGTGGCACAAGACGAGAGGTATGAAGTTGAATTTTTAGCAACCTGTGTAAGTAGGTCTGTGCAAACTGCAGAATTTATTTTGAAAAGGGTCATGAACAGAAACCTGCTATGCTTCACAGGCGTTACAAGTGAACCAACGACTGCAGGTTCAGATTCAATTTACACTCCCACCTGTCCTTCCCCTGCCTGCAGGGAACACATCACTTATTGTAGATTGACTTTATGGGGAATACTGGGGGACAGGGAAGATACGTGAACAACCTCAACCCATGTTCATAGACTTTCTTCTAGCATGAGCTGATGTTCATGAATAGTAATAATACTTGGCACTTACATAAGCCACAGTTCAGCAAGGTACCAATTTAAAGCATTCACTTCTATAGTACTTTAGATTAAACACAACTCTAAGTACCTTGCTGAATCAGGACCTTTGTGCATTACATGTTCAAAGCTTTGCATGAATGTAAACTAACTTGGCTGTGTTTGGGTTCAAAGAAAATATTTTTCACATCTCAGTGTAATCACTGTATCATACAGCCAACAAAGGTTTTTAAAATTGGTCATTTCTATTCACAACACAAGTCACACTTCTTTTCAAAATACTGAAACAACACTTTTAAAATGTGTGTTATTCTATGGGAGCATCAAAAGTTTAGTAAGTATAATGGTAATTGTGACCTCAGGCAAAAGCATGACAACATTAGATAATTGTGTATTTAATGTGTCAAACAGGGAAACAACAACACTATCATCTATTCCAACTTGATCAAAGCAATCTCTTCTGGTTACATAATCAAAAGGCAAAAAGATCTTCACTTGCATATCAATTGCAAAATGCTCCAAAATAGATGGATAGAAATAATGTATGTTGCAGAGGATGTTACTGAAGTCAATGAAACTCAGTACGGCAGATACAACGTGACCATTTCATTTTATAAAACATCATCCTTCTCATGGCCAGTGTATGACTCTCCATACTACGTTGACTTGAACCAGAATTTATTCCTTCAAGCTTCAATTCACAGCTCTGACCCAAATCTGGTCTTGTTTTTGGACACGTGTGTTGCATCACCCGATCCCAATGATTTTACAACAGTAACCTATGACATTATCAGGAGCGGGTAAGGACTTTCCCAGCGATGGTTTACAATGAAACTGTGCATGGAATACTGTATCTGTTTTGTTTATGCAATAATTTGAATGGGGCCAGTATGAAGTTTTCCTTGCCACTAAACTAATTAAAAAAAAAACTTGTTTGGCAAATCCTGGCAAAAAAATGAGAAATCAATAGAAATGACATTTAGACGATGCAATTCTGTATCAGTGATTCCATTCAAGGATGTAACATAGTAACTAAAGAGATAAATTCAGTTCTGATGTAAACAGGTGTAACCCCAACCTCCGCTGATGTCAGTGAATTTTCACCTGCCCACATCAAAATTGAGTTCAGCCCAAACAGTTTGTCTATAGAATTCAACTGTATTTTTAAAATATTCTGCTCCATTTTTAAAGGAAAAAAAATCATTCTTTTGTAGTCCTATTTTTTTTTCGTAGCATACTGAAAATGTTATTTCAAATTACTGTAATTCAATGTTTGGTTCAAATGACTGAAGTTTAATGTTTGATTTTTCCTGCTTTTCTGTACTTTTCCTACTTTTTAAAATCTTTTCAGTTTCCTTTCATGAGTGTTCTGTGTTTTGCAAGTGACACTTAAGAATTTTAATGTCACTCAGGTGACCCAGAATTGGTCATCTGGCCATTTCTTGTGGAAAAGTCAGATAAAAGAATTATTGAAAAATTAGATCTTAGATCTGGTAAGAAAATAAAAATCACTGATCTCATCCAGATAGCCATTCCTATGTTTCTAAGCTTTACCTGCCAGAATTTCAGTAGATTTCTCCATTGTTAGACTCTACACCTTTCAGGGTATGAAAGTTCAAGTCTTTCATGAGCAGGTCCCATTGTCAATGAATATGACTCTATTTATTGGTGCAATCCTAATTATATATCAATAATGGGGAATAAGTGAAATTTCAAAATAATTCAGCCAGGGTAGCATTAGAGCTGCTAGAAGTTAAGTTTTAAAGAAGCCATCTGCATGATAGTTTAAAACCCCCTATCTATTGCAGGAGATGAAAATTCGATATTCAAAATAGCCCTTTTAAGAAATGATCTGATACAATCATACAATGAAGAGACCGCCAAATCTTTTAAAACTCATATTTATTTAAATTAAAACCCCAAAGGAAATACATTTTCCATATCTACATTCAAACATATCTTAATCATCTATAGGTGAGAGAAATGTTGGCATGAATATAAAACATAGTAACATATGCAGTCTTAATAATCTCAGTTTATACAAGTTTAATACCTTGTGATCTTTCTTATGCTTATGAGTTTATTAAAATTTGTATAAAAGACATTGATGATATGACAACTCTGCAGCTTATTCTGAGATAATTGCTGTGTATTAACAGATAAGTTGAATTCCTTTTCATGGTGGTTAAATTGAACCAGAATGCACTGGCGTGGAATTTTGGCACTTACTAAGGTGAGTCAGTGCTGACAGGAAAGTGAAACGTACTAGAATCTTGTTCTGTAAAGCTCTTCTGCCGCTGACTTACTAGAGATTAGTCTCATTGGAAATGTTGACTTTCTTGCTTCTCGCATCCAAAGCAGAAATCAGAAGAGTGGGAGTGAGTTGGATAAGATGGCACAGAATGGAAGAAGGAATTTATTATCATTATTATTCATATCCAGTAGCACCTAGAGAACCCAATCAGACATTGGGGCCCCATTGTGCAAGGAGCTGTATAGCCATTTAGTAGAGAGACGGAGCCTGCCCTTCAGAGTAGAGCTGGTAGAAAAAATTGTTACTAAAGCTTTTCCTATCAAAAAACCGCTGTTCAAAGCTGAAGAGTTTCATGGAGATGTATCAGTTCTGACAGAACTGTCATTGGGAAGGGTTTTCTCAGGTGAGACGAAGAGAGAGACCTAGGCCAAGTGGTTAGGTTGCCTCGGCTGTGGGAAACCCAGGTCCAAATCCCTGCTCTGAATCAGGCAGAGCAGGGACTTGGCCCTGGGTCTCCCATCTTCTGGGTAACAGCCCTGGCTATTCTGTGCTGGGACTCTCTTTCATATGGTTTTTTCATGAAAAATGAGATTTCAAATTTTTTTTTTATCTGCATTGGAACAACAACAAATTTCAAAATTATGTATGAAATGGAATTGTTGTTTTCTGGCCAGCCTCACTTTAAGAGCTTAAATCTTGGTTTCATTTCCCCCTTAATAATAAAAATAAACCCCCTTTGTTTCAACTGTTCTACAGGGGTCATACACATTGCAGCCTGGAGATATAAGTAAGCAGCTCTGGGCTCTTTTCAATGATTAGTTGCCAGGACACCTCCAGGGGACTTCTCTGCAACTTGTCAGTTCTGGGCCCTGATGCTACAAAGACTTACGCACAAGTTTAACTTTAAACATGTGAATTCAGTAAAATTACTCACATTCTTAGAGTTAGGCATGTATGTAAATACCTTGCTGAATCAGGAAAACATAATATTGTATATTTCGATTTCAGACAAGTCACTGCCACTATTTTAACCTCTTTCATTTTCTATTCTTACTATAATTATATATTTTTCTCCCTTTCTGTTGTCAATGCATTTTTAATTTTTATCTTTGCACATAGGGCATGCTTGATGCCAGTGATTTATTTGTGTGTATGCATGAAGACTAATTGTATTTTATTTATTTATTTTAGGTGTGTTAGAGATCCTACCTACCTTAAGTACTATTCACCCTACAGCTCCACCATACGCTTCAAATTTAATGCCTTCAAGTTTATTAACAACCATACATCAGTTTACCTGCAGTTTAAAATGGTGGTGTGCAGGGTATATGATTATTCTTCCCGATGCTACCAGGGCTGCATACCCAGGTCCAAGAGAGATACAAGCTCTTACCAAGAAGAAGTGGATGTTATTCTTGGGCCTATTGAGCTTCAGAAAGATGGCACTAAGAACAGGAATGCTGGTAAATTTAAATAACCTTCTCTTGTGTTTAGTTTAAGTGTGACTATGGTCACTGGAGAGACCACACTAAGAATGCTCAATAAGGACAAACCGCAAAGAATAGGGCAGACAGTCCCCCAAACTGGTGGTTTATTCCTATAATTAGATTCACCAAGCCAGTAACAAAACAGCTTCTGTACTACCTACAAGAAGCTAAATTACAGTTTCTTTTAAGCAATCCAGCATTTGACTCCCACCCGGAGAGCCAAGTCTATATAGTGAGAGTTACTTTAAACCTTAGTCACTATAAAGTTTTACCAATCAAAAGAGATCGGACACCGTTACCTACCATGTCAATGAATATTTCAGATCTGACCCAAATAAATACTTACAGCCAATTCTTATTAACTAAAGTAAAATTTATTAAAGAAAATAAAGTTACTGTGGTTAAAGATCATTATACATACAGATATGAGAAGTTCTTAAGTCAATTTCATAATAGAGATGGTGAGGCTGCTGGTTTGTGAAAGTACTTCTAGAATCCGTTCAATAGGTTTTAGTCCAATAGGTAGTCTATGTGTAGAGTTTGTTCAAATTCTTCTGAGAATCTGCAGGGATAGTTCAGGGTACGCCTGGAGACCTCAGTCTGGTGACTTGAGCTTCCCCTGACAAAGTTTAAGCATATCTGAGATAAAATAAGATCAGGCCCAAAGCTTCTTTTATGTTCTCTAGCAAGTTGATAGCATCTTGATAGGAGACATCACAGCAGGGGCCTTCCCTGTTGAAGAATGGGCAGTGCATATTGTTGCTTTGAAGCTAAACTTCTATTTCTTACGCATTGATTAGCATAAAGCAATTGCCAATTCAAACGGTTCGTAGGTAGTTTACTACAAACGTCAAAGAGAAATAAAGACAATGATATTATTATACTACAAGTTTCATTTAAACATTAATATCCCCTTTTGATCTCTGAATCAATTGAATATATAATGAAACATTACAGAGAGGAACCAAAGTTTAGCATTTACAAGCTAATTAGATCACATTGTTAAACTTCTAATAAGATATAGGTAAACACAGACAAATACAATTAGTATCTGATTCTAATTCTCTAACAATACAGGTTTACATTTTAAGAAGTCTGGCCTAGTTAACAAGGCTTTGTTAACTATCTTCAAGGAATGGTCCTGTTTACCATTTCAATACTTTTCTAATATGACCTTAAAGGTGGATTTTGGGTCACTCAGCCTGCTGGTTGCTTAACCCTTGCTGGCTCATTGTCACAATAAGGTTCTGTAAATCACTTTCCATTTCATTTTACAAAATCTTACTTCTGATTTCTAGCAGCGCAGCATGCTTTTACTGGTTTAGCAACAACCCCCTTATAAACATCAGGGACTTGTTTGTTGACTAAGAGCATCTACAAATTTGTTCCTTCATTAAACCCATCATTTTAATCTGCCCAGCTTGAAAATGCTAATTGAATCAATTCTTCAGGAAGAAAGATGAGATTCAGTCCATCTCCTTCTAGCCTTATTGATTTAATTATCCCCAAACTGTTCAAGCATTGTGGTTGTCATGTCTCACCTTCACTATCTCTAGTAAAGTGAAACCTCAACCTTCCTTGAAAACTGATTCCATTCCCTAGCTCTTGTGCTAGTTATGATGTTTTCTTAATATTGATCCTAAAACATCCCTGCTGGGGGTACAGTTCATGAAATAGTCTTTTTACTAATATTAAGATGGATTGATGTGTCTAGAATGTCATGTATAAAATAGAGTGAAATTGATTTATTTCTTGACCTGATCTAGAATGTAACTTTTTAATTCAAGTTCTCTTTGTCCTGGTATCTTTGGCAATAACTAGAGCAGAGAACAAAATTAAACCAAAACTCTCTCTCTTAATTTACAGAGCTGGACTATTCTGAACATCAGGAAGATGTGGATTCCCGTGGTTCACTTACCACTACTGCTGGTCATTCCCAGGCTCCATTTATTGTTACGGGTGTGGTGCTTGCAGCTGTTATTTTCACTCTTGTTGGGTTTCTTTTGAAAAATAAACTGAGGAGACCGATTCCATACGAGATAATGTGAGACACTACAGATACGAGCATCAGGGCATTTATGTAATGATTCAGTTTCTAGCATTTGCACTAAATAACTTTTATACAACAAATCATGCTTTAAAGAGAAAGCATGAAAACCTTATTGTAATGAGACTACACTCTGAGTTCAGGTAAATTCAGGCTAGAGATGGGCCTGAGGTTAAAACCCACCTCCAAAATAACAGGAGAAGGTAGGAGAAGTTTGAATCTAGATCCCAACTCTCTAACTTGCTGCCTTTTCCATGGACTTGAACACCAGCCCCATATCCGGCCCACCAGCTCCCTCCCCTCAATCTAGAACCAGACTTTGCAGCTCAGGACTATCTCTAGTCTAGATAGGCCAAAAACTGGGTTCAATTCCTGTTTCACCACAAACATCTTGTGTGATCATGGGTGAGTCACACAGTCTCTCTGGGCTCAATTACCCATCTGTAAAATGGAGATAACAACATAGGGTTGTTGTAAGGAGAAATATATAAGATTGTGAGATGGACAGATATTACAGGGAATTGAGTCATACAAGTACTTAAGATAGACAGAGAGTACTTTGTTTTGACAACTTTATACATAATAAAGGGCAGTCTGACATTATTTTTATGTTTTTCTTTTGCGCCTACCTAGCACATTCCAGTCACTTCTGATCATCAAGATATTTAGATTGTAATGCATGTTTTCTTCCTCATAATCTTCCTTTCAAGACCAGTGTTTCTAACATCTCAAATAGTCTGACATGGAAATTAGGTGAGGAGTCAAATGTAATAGATCGTGCAAATTTGTAGGTTGGGATGATTTTCAGTCTAAATGAATCTCTTATGTAAACACAGCAATTTAAAATTAGAAAAGTGTTTACAAAGCAATATTTCTATTTGTGTACTTGCAAATCTAATATCTCTGCATCTCCAAATTACTGCTTTGCAATATGAAGAATGTGGTTTGTGATAAAGAAACTTTGGCAAAACTAATTTGTGTTGGTTTTTTTTTTCTATTTCCAAAACATGGTTGGTACAATCAATAAGTGCATTTATTTATTTTTATAAGAAAATGAGATTTGTCTCGGCCTTTAAACAGTACAGAATATTATAGAGAAACTGGTTTTAAGAAGCCAGATATTTCAATGGGATCAGTCACTGATATTTGACTCAAATTCTCTCTTCAATTTTTCTAATATCTTAGTGTGTGTTTTTTTGAAACCTGGGAAATGTCAAGATTGCAGTGGAGAACAGAGGGGACTGCAAAGGAGCCAGTTGCTGCTCCCTGGGGCTCACCCTAAAGATGCCAGCTGATCAAAGAGCCATCCACCAGCCAAGGATTACTGGAGCATATTGGTGCTCTGACCATGCCTACCCCTATCCCCTCTATGTCACCAAATGCAAGGGTTGTAGGGACACTAGCCTAGGAGCTAGACCTACACTGACAGAATCATCAGCTAGGGAGATCCAGCAGCTTTCCAGCTCCATAGTATGCCCAAAGCGGAGGAGATTTTCCGACCCAATATTTTTTGTAAATTATTTCTGTGTGGAGTAGTTGGCCTGAGAACACACACCATGCAGATGGATTCTAGATGCACTTTAAAATGTCCCGTGCACTTGCAATCCTTTTTCCTGTAGGCCCAAGCACATGCTCTTTCCCTTACTTTCATTGACTCTAATGAGCCATATGTATATTTTATTGAAGTCCAATACATGTCAGAATGTAACCAATATGCCCTTCAGCTAGTATATATTTCTAAGTGATTTTCTGTATACGGGCAAAGAAATTATTGTAAAAAAGACCTGAATGGAATCTGTTCCTGAATATCTGGTTAATTATTTTCAAACATTTCAGATGACTTTTTCTGTGAAACCCAAGGTTTCTGCTGATGTCCGTTTTTTCAAATTCCCTCCCCCACCCCTAAATTAACTGATTTGAACTTCCTTTATCAGGAACGGTACTTCATATTGATCGGGGGTTGTGGGGTGTTCTGAGAAAATTGTGTGTGTGTGAAATGGACCGTGTGTTACTGGTGGGAGAAAAGACCTCTTAATCTTTGTGGACTAGGTAAAATAAACAGGAATAGAATGGAATAAGACCGAGGAATGGTCAATGAGTCTCACACTGCTCTATATAGCTTTTGTTGGTGGTCATGTAGATCTGGCTAGTCATATGGTGCTGGCTATTTTCCTTGTTTCTAGGTACTAACCTGCATTAAAGGAAGCTGAAAATACATTACTGTCCTAATATTACTTTTTCACGTGAGCATTGCTTTAGTTGCCACAGGGGAGTTATGTATTAATAGATGGGGCAGGGATCTGGTCTGCATCATAGCAAATGGGAAAGGAAGTGGTCCTGTAGGTAATCTTCATAATAAGGTTTGAGAACCCCAGGACTGAAGAAAGATGATAACAGTGCTCCACAGGGTTCAGTTCACATGGAAAACTGTGAGGTGCTCAGGTACTGCAGTAATGGAATTTATCTACATACCTGTAGCAGGACAAGCTCCACTCCTGTCCTGCAATCCTTAACAAGCTAGAGGCATACAAGATTGCAAACACCTCAATGTAATTTGTAAACATTACCACCATTGTATTAATCCTGTGCAACAGCTCTGTCTACAGCATTTTTCAGATGTCAGCCATTTCTCAAGGGGGAAGACATCTCACCCTCCTGAAATCCCTTTTCCCTCAGCTCTGCTAGCCTTACTCCCTGTGCACTGCCTTCCTATACTATTTAACTGCTCCTCCCAGCTGATTGGACAATTAGCTCCTTAGCATTCCCAGTCCCATTAGGTAATTAAGTACTGTATTCCTCAATCGAGTCTTCTCTGGGGGGAACTAATCAGAGCTTAAGTGACCAGAGTGCTGGGTCAGATGTTGGCTCTCAGCACTCTGTCATTGTACCGTACACAGATACATATACTTACTAGTGATGCTTCTCTATCTGCTGCCAATTCCCTCCCAGAGAAGATCTAAGGATGAAGCCTTATTAGTGAATTGGAACAACTGAACTCCACCAAACACCTGTGCTGGCACAATCATGCTCTTAATTTTTCTATTTCCTTTTTTAGAAAATGTTGATAATTATTTCATATTTTTTCATTTGAGATTTGTTTCAAGTTGGGTTCACTTCTTTCTTCTGTATTTTAAATTACTCATGCCTCACAGTCTCCTTGAGAAGGACTCTCTTTATCTCAGTCTATCTTTTCTCCATTCATGCTTTGCCTCTGGCTTGTCTTTCATTTTGATAAGATTATCTGAGTTCTATAATGTTTCTAGTTCTCCTCCGTTCCTGGCCCCTGCAATGCTTGCCTCTTGCTTTCCTTTTTTTGGATTAATTATTCCACAGCATTGTTTATCCACATATGTATTCTGTTTGCATTATTGATTGAAGGGGACACATGGAAACCTTAGTTATGAACTGAGCTGATTGGAGAACATTTGTCAAATAGTTCATTGCACAAATTTCTTGTTATTTTAATAGTGAATTATTAAACATACTTTCCTCCATTATTTGTTCTGCTATAGTCATGAGTGCGTCACGGGATGTGGGGCACTCTCTGCTGGGTGTCTGCTAATATGTTTTTCTAGTGAGAGACATATACAAGTCTACATTGATGATTATAATGATTTGTACAATCAGTAGCTTCCGTGACCTAATGAACAGGAGCTGTGAACAGTTCTTACTTTACTTAGAATTATTTCACCTCGGAATAATAATTTCAAAAATGTTTAAATCCCATTTTCAAAAATAACTTAATTTCAGATTTTTTAGGTTACTGGGGACTTTCGGATGCAGATTGGTGCCTACTGGCATTTTCAAAAGCACCGTGGTGCCTAACTTCCATTGATTTCAATGTTGTTTGTAATGCTGTTGCAGCTGTATTGGTCCCAGAATATGAGACACACCAGGTGGATGAGGTAATATCTTTTAATAGACCAACTTTCGTTGATGGAAGGAACAAACCTTCCCTTCCATCAACAGAGGATATTATTTCACCCATATTGGCTCGTTGATTTCAATGGGAATTAGGGAGTTGGTCTCAGTAGTTGCCTTGATGCATCTTTAGTTGCCTAAATATTTTTGAAAACCTGGCCTGAAAGCACTTAGGGGTCTCATTGAGAATCAATGGTCCTAGGCCCCTTAAGTAATTTAGACACTTTAAAAAAAATACCCTCGGTGCTTACAGAATAGTTAAGACTGTATACATCTTCTCTGTATACACAGTTCTCTACTGGACAATACAAGCTCATATAAAGACTGTCATTTTATCAATGGAAAATGATACGCACAAGCCCTATTATTTCAAGTGGAGGTTCCCAAATACACTGGTCCAATAAAACAAGTTTATTAACTATCAAAAGAAAGATTTTAAGTGATTACAAGTAATGCATAAATGTCAGGATTGGTTACAAAGAAAATAAAAAGTAAAACACAAACTAACATCTAACTTATCAAGCTACAAGAATTCAAAGCAAAGGTCTTTCTCACCACATGCTTTTTGCAGTCTCCTGACTAGATGTCCTCTAGCCAGATCCACTCCTTCAGTTCAGTGTTCTTTCGGGTGTTTTTGTTGCCTTGAGCAGAGGGAAGAAGAGAAGAGGTATGTGTGGTAGTTGTTTTCTATTCTTATACCTTTCTCCCATCCTTGAGAATGATTTCCAGCTGGGGTTCAAGTGACAGCAAGTTTGTGGGACAGGAAACCCCCTCTGTGCCTTTGCCAATATATAAATGTGTTGCTCATACCTGCCAAAGAATGGCCACTTAACTAGGTGATAGCTCATCTGATTATGTTGTGACTAAGGCATCAATTTGCCTATTGTTTCTGGGGAACTGGTCTGTGCCTGCTTTTCTAATCTTAGTAATGCTATACAGCAGAATCTTATAACCTTACATACAGTGTTATCACACTTATTTTGCACTAGAACCTCAGAGTTATGAACACCTCGGGAATTGAGGTTGTTCATAACTCTGAAATGTTTGTAACTCTGTACAAAACCTTATTGTTGTTCTTGCAGAAGTTTACAACTGAACATTGACTTAATACAGCTTTGAAACTTTTACAGTGCAGAAGATTAAATGCTGCTTTGCCTTTTTTTTTAGTAGTTAAACATACTATTGTACTGTATTTGCTTTTTTGTGTGTGTGTGTCTCTGCTACTGCCTGATTGCGTACTTCCGGTTCCAAATAAGGTGTGTGGTTGACTGGTCAGTTCGCAGCTCTGTGCTCATAATTCTGAGGTCCTATTGTACCAGGACAGTAATGTTCAGCAAATTGAGTTTTCTAATGATACTTCACAAGACATACTTCATACAAAATTTATTATAGTCTTGTAAAAGGGTGAACATGAGAGTATAGACTTTCACAATGGAAAAACCCTGTTTGGGCTCCTTTCTCAGTCTCCAAGACATAATATCGGAGAGTATCTATAATTGCACCTACAGTGTTGTTAAACATTTCACAGTAATAGTAATGAGAAGTGTGTTATTAGATTTCAAACATATAGTGCATGTCACCTTTTAAATAAATATCACATCAGTGTGTTCGGCAGAATGACTATGTCAGGCCTGACAAAAGTTGCTGACATAGTGCAGTGATCCCTTTGTAGTGTCATAGAGGACTCCTATGAAAGTGGTGCAGAGGCGCCCTGAACCAGCCCAGTTGGCACATTGGCAGAGCCAGTGCTAGCCATTGGAGGCCCTAAACAGGAATATGTTTGGCCTCCCAGTACTAAAGTAGGCAAGTTCTTATAATAAAAAGCAAGTGGGGTGGGCCCCTGAGCTGCTCAGGGCCCTCCGCAATTGCTTAGTCTACTTATGCCTAGCACGAGCTCTGCACATTGGGGCCAATGAGTATTTATGAATCTGATTCGGAATGCAGTGATG